GAATTGGGCCTTAAATAAATGAATGTTCAGCCCAAAATAATATAAAAAAACGTGAAAATCACTAAAATTAACCTAAAGTAACATGAAATATCAGTTTGTTACAAATTGTAACAGAATTGCGAGATTGACGCAAACTGTGTAATTTAGCATAAATGACCTCAATTAAGCTTCTCTTCAACCTGAATAATGTTTATCATGCCTTGATAATCATCCAAACTTTGATTTACTTGTGCATGTTGTTATCAACCCAGATCTGCTCAATAAGGCCATTTAAAGCTTCTCGCATCTTCTTAGTTCTAGCTCTCATGACTGGACCTCCTGGAATATGTAATGGATCTCTTGACGTGATACATGTGGGGTCATCTTGATTCCCATCATCTTCCTTTCCTTGCCTTCTTCATCAATCAATTCTGCTTCATCAATTAGTTCATAATCATCAAACAACACCCACAAAAACATAGAATTTTTTTTTTTTAATTTTTACCGATGAACCCAGCGTCGAGTTCGAATCCTTCTTCATCAATTAGTTCATCATCATCATCAAACAACACCCTCATCAAACAACACCCACAAAAAGACAATTTTTTTTTTTTTATTTTTTGCTGAAGAACCTAGCGCTTGGGGTCGATGAACTAGGCGTTGGGTTCATCGGGTTCCAAGGAACCTCAAGCCTAGGTTTGATGAACCCAGTGTTGGGTTCTTGGAACCCAGGGCCTGGGATTGTCCGAACCCAAAGCCGAGTTCTAAGGAACCAAGGCTCTGGGTTCCAAGGAACCCCAAGCCTCAGTTCGTCTGAACCTAGAGTCGGGTTCCAAGGAACCCAAGCTCTGGGTTCCAGGGAACCCCGAGCCTTGCTTCGTCCGAACCCAAAGCCGGGTTGGAACCTCGAGCCTGGGTTTGATGAACCCAAGTGTCAGGTTCCAAGGAACCCAGCGTGATGCGAATCGAGATGACCCCACATGTACCACGTCAAGAGAGCCATTACATATTCCAGGAGGTCCAGTCACGAGAGCTAGAGCTAAGAAGATGCGAGAAGCTTTTAGATGGCCTTATTGAGCAGATCTGGGTTGATATCAACATGCACAAGTAAATCAAAGCTTGGATGATTTTCAAGGCATGATAAACATTATTTGGGTTAAAGAGAAGCTTAATTGAGGTCATTTGTGCTAAATTACACAGTTTGCGTCAATCTCGCAATTCTGTCGCGATTTGTAACAAACTGATATTTCATGTTACTTTAGGTTACTTTTAGTGATTTTCATGTCTTTTTATATTATTTTGGGCTGAACATTCATTTATTTTAGGCCCAATTCGTGGTTATTAGGTTTAGGACTTAGGGTGTTAGTTTCCTATTCTGATTAGGATTTGTTTTCTCTATTTAAAAGGCTTGTAACCCTAATGGGGAGGAGGCGATTGAATCTGAGATTTTGAGAGACTTTTCTCTTTGGTTCGTTTTAGAACTTTACAGAACTTATCAAGATTATTCTTGTGGCGTTCTAACCTGACTTATCATCCTCGTTCTTAATCGTTTGAGGGTGTGGCGTCAACCAAATTTATACCTCTGGTTCTTGTTGCGTCATAGACAACAGGTCAAGGTTTTTATCTTTGGTTCTTGTTGCGACATAAACAAT